ATTCACTGGATTTTCCTTCTGGCTGGCGTTTCCATGCCCATCATCAGCACAGGTTTGCTAAACCATTATCATCTACTCGTAGATGCTCGCCGTCGACGTCTGATGGATAACAACACAAAGCTGTCTGTTGGCGCACCACCTACGTAGGTGCGAGTTTAGCCATCGTTGGGACCAGACAATCAGGCGGCGGGTCCTGCCAGGCAGTGTTGGAGAAATGTCCAGGGTTACAACAACCAAAGCATACTCTTCCGTGCATAATCAGCGAGTTTATGCACCACGTAACGACCACAGGTTCACCTGTAACATCCAAATCACGCCCTCTAGCCCCTAGTAAGTTCAAAATGGCGAAGGGTGAATTCGACCTCATGCTGGAACTTGGCTTAATCAAACATTCAAGTAATCCTTGGGCATCACCATTGCACACGGTTCCAAATAGGATAGCAACGACTGGCGTCCAACCAGTGATTACCGAAGACTTAACGCCCAAACGACACTGGGCTGCTACCAGATACCTCATGTTTATGACCTGACCACGACGTTATGCGGAATGGGCATTTTCTCCAAAATCGATTTGGCCAAAGCGAACAATGAGATAATTATGGCAGCAGAAGATATTGCGAAAACAGCCATTATCACTCCTTTTTGTTTGTATGAATTCTTGCGCGTGCTATTTGGTCTTCGGAATGCAGCACAAACACTCCAAAGCTTTATGGATGATGTATTCCGTGGTTTAAATTCCTTCCGCGTACATATCGATGACTGTCTCATTGCGAGTCCAGATGGGGAAACTCACCTTGAACAGTTGGACCTCGTATTCGAAAGACTAAAAAACATGGTTTCACAGTCAACTTGCGGAAATGTGAAATAGGGATTAAATCACTCAGCTTCCTCTGGTACATCACTGACAACAAAGAGATAAAGTGGTGGCTGCCACGAACTATCCAGAGCCGACCACTGTGAAACATCTCCGCACTTTCAATGGCCTGGTAAGTTACTACCAAAGGTTTATTCCCAACCGTGCCTCTGTCATGTGACAACCAACAGATCTGCTTCGAGGGACCACGAAGTTCGTGACTCTAGACAACGTGGCTAGACTTGCTTTCTCTAAAGTCAAGGAAGCCATTTCGAACGCAACCATGCCTATGCATCACAACCCCAATGCTTCTTTGTGTATTGCTGTTGATGCATCTGACTCAGCAATTGCAGCAGTTTTACAACAGTTGACTGACAACCAGTGGCAACCTTCAGCCTTCTCCCGAGGCGGCTGAAAGACGCGGAAACAAGATACAGTACATTTGATAGGGAACTCCTAGCTATGTACTGTTCTGTACGTCATTTTCGACATTCTGTGGAAGGTCGTGATTTCGTTATTTTCACTGACCGCAAATCGTTAACCTTTTCCCTTAGCTCGACGTCTGACAAATACTCCCCGCATGAGTAAAGACAGCTTGATTATATTTCCTAGTTCACGTCAGATATCCGCCATATTTCTGGGGCAGATGATTCCGTAACCGATGCGCTGTCTCGAATACCTTCGATAGACCATATCGAGGGCAATGATCTCGTTGAACTAGCTCGGTGACAAAAAGAAGACCTTGAGCTGCATCATGAGATGTCGCCCACAACTCTCAGGCTACGACTGTGTCCGGTAGAATCATACGAGGATGCAATTATGTGCGATGTCTCTGCTAGTCAACCACGCCCAATAGTTCCGAGGAGGCGTCGATGCAACGTCTTCAACAGGTTGCACGAATTGTCCCATCCTGGTGTACCAGTCACTATCACGCTTATTGCACAACGTTTCCGCTGGCCCGGAATGAACAAGGATGTCAGGGTGTGGGCTCAGTCGTGATAAGCTTATCAGAAGTACAAAGTTGCGAGAAGTATGAAAGGCCGTTTAGGTTCTTTTCTAGCCCCAGACATGCGTTTTGACCATGTCCATATAGATGCTGTGGGACCGCTACCAGGATCTAATGGATGTCCCTACCCCTTCACTTGTGTTGATCGTTTCACACGATGGCCGGAAGCAGTAACCATTAAGGATACTACTGCTGAGACGGTGGCTCGTGTTTTCGTCGAAAGGTGGATCGCGAACTTTAGATGTCCGTCTTACGTCACAACAGACCATGGGTGCTAATTCGAGTGTGGATTTCTTCACACTTTAACTGCACTTTTAGGTCGCACTCAGTTCCAAAAGGCAGCCTATCATCCACAAGCAAACGACATAGTAGAGCGTTTCCATCGACAGCCTCCCTATCAGCTGCAAACATACCTCAGTGGACCGAGACTCTGCCTCTAGTCCTACTAGGTATTTGTAAGGCGTTGAAAGCTGATGCGGGTTGCACCTCTGCAGAACTCGTCTATGAGACCACTCTCCGTCTACTAGGTGAATTTGTTTCCCCTTCAACTTTCAGATGTGTTTCCGACAGGGCATCGTGCGTGACTAGGCCTGCAAATGCAATGCTTTCAGTTAGGCCTTCTCCAGTTAGACCTCAAACGACCGACGTCTTCGTTCAGACCGTTTTACAAAAGACATCACAAGTGTTCATCCTCCACGATGCCGTTCGTCGACCACTTGAACCACCCTATGATGGGCCATTCAAAGTGGTCAGGCGACACGAGAAATTCTATATAATTGAGCGAAACGGATGTGAAGATACTGTCAGTATCGACCGCTTGAAACCAGCTCATTTCGAAGGCAACCCCATCATAAGTGACGTTTCAGCTAGCAAAAGCCGACCGACCATGGCCCAATTATCGAAATTCTTGACAATATGCCTGGTAAGGCACAGATACAACAAACATCAGCGCAACAAAAACACAATCAGGTCGAACCGTCAGGGTCTCGGAGTATTTGAATTCGTATTCAACTTAGCAGCGTAAAATAAAGTGTGCCAACCATTTTTTTGAATTCAAAAATTTTTTTGGGGCACCATTTTTCTTTTACCGGCAATGCGAAAATCCTCGTACATTTTGCCTTTTTATGTCAGTTTTCCACTACCACGTAGTGAAACGCTTTCAAAAAAAGTGGAAATAAGAGTAAACTTTATTTTCGATATATTTATATATGAATAATTTCCATCTTCGCGAAACGTTTTCGTGATATTAATGACCTTTATTTATATTACAGGTACAACGAGCACTGGACGAAACGTCAAAAGGAACTGAGGAGCGCGACCGACGTACAATTTAATTTATTGAATTTTATTTTTCATTTTCCACCACACCTTAGAGTAAGTTCAGGCAACCAGGGGCCACTTGTCACGGTGAACCCATAGGAAGAATCTTACCAGTGGAGCAACCACCGGGTTTTTACTTCCGGTTGGCATCATCTTAGGGTCCTCACGAACCCAATAGGCGGGAGTGGTCTATGGAGGCACACACTTCCCAGAATCAATAGCCTAGGGTTTGATGGGATTCAACATTGATGCTGTCCTTGATAGTTTAACTGGACTCGCTAGGCTGAAGGCACCCGGTCAAGCATCCTCGCCATTTGGCACGCTGTCGTGTTACGTTGCACTGCTTGTATTCGACTCTCTAGCCAGTTAGTTGGAACACATCGGTATCTTGGCGCAACCATCCAAATATACTATTCCATCCGACTACGCTATTGTGTTCTCCTTTGGTCTTGTATTTGTGGGTACATGACAAGTTTGAATAATTGGTGGTTGGTCTTTGAGTCTGTCAAATTCGCATCAGGACAATTCCTAAAGTATGATCCTCAACGCTGGTGGCTATGCAGTGCAGTGTGGGCATAGCTTGCTCTGATTACCGAAATATCCGCCCATTTTAGCCTTGCAGTAGGAGTCAATTGAATGTTTCGATTTCGTCAAGGCTGAACCTGAGCCCAAATAAGCAGTCCCACCTACCAAAGCTCACTGTCACCATCTATGAGTGATCACTGGTGGGCGTCACCGGTGAGGTCACATTAGCCTATCACATCTTTTCCGCCGACACATATTGATCCATCATCTAGGAGGCTGAGATTCGTTTTCTACTGGCCACATGTAAGCTACAGGTTGATTCTGTTCGTACGTAGCTTCAGAAGGGACGCTAGCTTCTACACCGAGGTCAGCGGGATGATAAACCTTTGTTTTCGCTTGTTTGATACGCTCAAAAAGGTTGTTCCCAGAGATTACTTTTGTGGTTAATGCATCCCAGTAAAGCAGTTTCCTGATTTCGTGGAGCCACCATTGAAGTTGTGTGGTTTTCAGCAGCTTCTTGTATCCCTGCCACAGATTTTGTGGAAACAACAGGGTTTTCAACAGTCTGAGATTTTAAAATCGAATAGTCACTTGAACTGCTGTTGTAGGGCAAAGCAAAGGAGCACTGTGTTGTACTTCATAACTGGGAGCTTCAAGGCCCCAAGTGGTTCCTAATGGGCTTGCAAAGCTTCTTCACTGGGGGACCCCTTAGCATGCAATTTATCCTTATAAATTAACGGCGAGTTCCGAAGATATTCTCATTTCTTTTGTCAGGTAAGCTAATAGCTTATAAGTAGCGGCTACTTCGAGTATTACAACCATGGTTTGTACCAAGTAGGGTGGTTTAGAGGATTAGCTGACCGAAAATGCGATCCTCAAGAGCACTTTGGACGACTTTCTCTTGCCTCTGCGTAAGTTTGTCAGCAGCTCAATCGTTCAATAAACTGATTTCATGTCTTGGTGACGTTGTGGCATACATCATGCAACTTTCTAAAAGTCTTGTTTCAATTTCTTAACTCTCTGATCTATAACGAAAAGAAATCATCCAGTTTTTTGCATTTGGAATCAGTCTCACTTTCCATTTCTGACGTTTTTGAACTATTTGAGCCTAGTGAATCCTAGAAAAAGTCATCAGAGCAAATAATCATTATAAGAGAATTTCTACTCACCTTTGCAATGATGAGAATTAGCATTCTCAAAGTTAGGTTAGCTACCTTTTAAGACTCAAGTCTTCAAGTTGTTACTGGTCTATCCATTCTACAACATAAAACCGCATTTTGTATGCATGAATGTCCAGGTTTCAGAGAAGCGGCGCGCCTCTCAAACGGTTCTTTTGGCGAAATAACTGTATGTTGTTAGTCCCTTGTCGAATTATTATCTTGTTTACAGTTGTTATTCGTCTGAGTGTTATGTACCTGTTAGTATTTACTTATTTATCAACTTCATTTTCCAACTGCCTGAAAAAGTTCTGCATGTGTTTGTGGAACGCGTTTATATACATTGGGACTTATGTAAACAGTAGTTTTCCATTTCACATCTTGAAACCTTTCGGTGCTTTTTGTAGACTTTTAAAATAAGGGTTGAGAAAATTTTTTCAGGATTAAGGAATAAACTAGATGAATTTAGCTTTATAAGTCAGATTTTGATAACTAGAAGCCTGGTCTTCATGTGCTGTCATCACTGGTTAAGAAATCTGATTGCACTTGATAATTCCATTCATTTAAAGTCATCTCATAGACTTTATCTGAGCCTGATGGAAGTATACTGAGTTTCAGTCAAATGAAGGAGTAAATAGAAGACGTTTATTTGAAGAATGTGACATATTCGCGCAATACATTTCGAACAATCTGATCTCCCACACATTTACTTGTCACGTCAATACATATTAGACTGAGGAGTGAGAGGACAAATACAACAATCAACACAAGCGACTAAAATTAAGAAAGATGAAAAGAAAAGGTAGAGTGACACAGTTAATCCTAATCTTTGTAAGAAAACAGAGTTCATCAAGGTAGGTGTAGTGTGTAAGAACACATTGTTTTTGTACACACAAAGGTAGTTTGAATTTTTGTATGACTATCGCTTTCACAAGTCTCATTAGACATCCCTGACTGTTTCTACAAAAAACTGAAAGCTGTTTGAACATTAACTTTGTGACCTATTTCTATGGTATGTTTAGCTATATGTGAAGAGGGTAGTCTGCCACCAGTGTTTACCACTGTTTCACACCATTTTTTTCTGAAACCACTTAGGCACATGTTCTCCTACCCACAAGTTCATGACTCGATTACTCCTCCCTATGTATGAGTGACCACACACACAAATTGGTGAACACAATAAGATGTGACGTAATCACTGATGCAGTGTTTAGGTTTTTGGTGAAACGTGTTTTTTTCTACACTGATAATATTTAGCTGCGTAATATGTTTCCTTAATGGTTGATGTCAGCCTACGTCTCAAAATGATACTAATCAACTCCCCTCTATATGGTAGTGATGTGGGCGCTTTTCTTAGGAATTGTGTATAGAGTTGGCTTCGGTGCTAATTGACCTCGACAGAGATTTGTAAACTTCAACGGATATCCACTTTCCATAGGTGTTTTGGTTCGTAGTTCGATATCTTCGTCCATCGTATCTGGTTTACTGATACGACAGATCCTATTAAACAGGCATTTTATTAGACCTCGCTTGCATTGGATTGGACAAAAATTGTGGAAATTCAGGTATTGTCCTGTCCATGTGGGCTTTCTGTAAAATGACCTTCTTATTGAACCATCTTCTCGTTGACTCAGGAGTATATCTAGGAATGGCAGTTGATTATTATTCTCTTTCTCACAAGTCAGGCTGATATGAGTTTGTACGGTGTTCAGTCTGTTTGGTAGACAAGCCATATCCTCATACCTCTCACAAATCTTCTAATTACGCTATCGAAATTCATAAAAGGGAGTGTTCCAAATTTTTGAAGGAGTAAGGCTGAAGAATGAATACAGCCTCGCTACTGAAACGGAAAAGTTCAGAAACTATGAGCTTTTTGTACTCGCTTGAAAGATTTTAGATATATTGGATGTCAACCCTTGTCAAAGGGCTCATAAAAGGTGAACATGAGAGTGCGGTCGCGCTTTCTCCGCTCACGTCTGCACCATTCAGAAATGCATTGCCAGATGTTGTACCAACTGATTCATCATTTTTCCTGTCCATAAAGGTTAAACGGTTTTTCATATCAAGATACGAACTTCATCCACTTTTTTGAGGGTCAGAGTTGACTGAGGATGTAAGCTTTCACTGAACCTGTCTTTTGTTCACTCACTCACATAACCAGTATGCTTAGTTTGACATCATGATTATTGTTTTCCTTTGGGTTCCTAATAGGACATGGGGATTCAGTAGCACGCCTCCACTGCACTCTCTTCTCTGCAATCTTTTAAACCTGGCTCCACAACTGCCCACAAGCTTTCATTTCTTCCTCACATGATCTCCTTCATGTAACCCTCAGCTCAGACGCCCAACTCGTCGTTTCCTATTTGGATTCCACTCGAGGGCCTGACGTGTGATGTCCCCAGTCGGCCTTCTCAGTGTATGTCCAATCCATCTCCACTTTCTTCATCTGCATATTTGTTGGGTGATAGGTTCTTGGTTCGTTGCCAGAGTTCCTTGTTGCTTATTCTTTCTGGCCGTCTGATCTTCAGTATCAGATGTGAGTGTAGGAGGCAGCTGTTGATGTATGTCTGTAATTTGTTGGAAATGCTTCTCGTGACACGCGAAGTTTCTGAACCGTATAGCAGCACTGAATTGACTGACGTTAGTGTTGAAAATACGGATCTTGTTCCACTTGGTGAGTACAGTAGACCTCCACACTGATTCCTGAATAATGAAAGCTTGTCTTACTTTTCAGATCCTGGTTTTGACATCCTCGTCTGTTTCTGTGCCATCTGTTGTTGAAACGATGTTGTCTAGATGGGTAGATGAAAGACTACTTCCTTCAGGTTCCTACCGTTGATGGTTTATGGTTGCTTGTTGTTGATGCTGTAGTTGGTTGGGTATCATCACCTCCGTTCTCTCTACATTCACTTTAAGTCCCGTTTTCTCTGCCTCGTCACTTCTGCCAACTTGTAAGTTTTCGCCTGTAGATCTTCGAGTTTGTGCGACATTAAACATAAATCAACGGGGAAATCCAAATCTTCTAAGGTCTTCTCATCGGTCCAGCCAGCGTATAACCCTCTTCTCGCTCCCCACGGTTTGCTGCGTGATCCAGTCCAGTCTAGTTGATCACAATGAGGAAGATGATCGGTGATAGTTGGCAACAGCCTTGTTTTACTCCTGTCTTCACCTCGCTTGAAAGGCATCATTGAGCTGAGCTTTCCATTGTGAATCACTTGGCATGCAGCATCATATCGTATATAACTGTTGAATGAGGTTGATGACGGTTTGTGGGACTGAAACCGTAGTGTTGAAGCAGCTGCCAAGTTACTTCTCGGTCTAAGATATCGAAGGCCTTTTCGAAATGGATGAATTTGAGGTAGAGATTTGGCTGCCATTCTATGCTCTGTTCTGTGATGATGCCTAGCGTTGCAATTTGGTTTGCACATGATTTGTTTCTCCTGAAGCCAGCCAGCTTGTTGTGGTCATGATTTTGACTGGAAAACATTTTTCAGTCTGTCCAGGATGATATGGCTTGATGCTTTGCTTGCTTTGGTTGAACAGGAGCATGATTTCACTTCAGTTGTTGCAAAGACTTAGATCACTAAGGTTGTTTGGGAGTTTGCCAAGGTAGCCGTTCTTCTAATCACTAGGCAGGTACCTTTCCTTGCTTGCACATCTCCTGTAGTAATGGTGTGAGTATGTCCAGTGTTGTCTGTGCGTCCGTTTTGAGTGCTTCTAAGGGAATCTCATATGGTCCTGCTGCTTTCCCGGCTTTCAGCAGTTTTTTGGCATGCAGGACTTCTGCTTTTGTTGGAAGACCTGTGTTCACTTGTAGTTCTGCGGTTGCTGGCGCTATGTCTGGAAAAGTTGCACGTGGTGGTCGATTCAAAAGTATTTCGAAGTGGTCAGCTGATTGTTTCCTTTGTTCCTCCTCTTTGGTAACTAGCTTTCCTTCACTATCTTTCATTGGTTTCGTCCGCGTTGATCTCTTCCGCCCAGATAGTATCCTGGTTCTTTGATACAATGTTGTCAGGTCTCTTCTACCAGCAGCCTGTTCTGCTCCACTTGGAAGTGTGTCGTAGAAGTGTCTTTTGTCCTTGCGCGCACTCTTCTTCACTTCTTTGTCCAGTGTTTTGTCCATTGTACTCAGTTTTTCTTTTTGTTGTGCATCTTTACACTGGTCCATCTTCTGCTTCATCATCTTCCTCTCCCTGCTCCATCAGCTTCCATATGTCCGTCAAGATCCATTCCTTGCTTCGCTTCTTTTTTCCTAACACGGTTATGCAGGTTTTCTTCCACATCTCTTTCACACAGTTCCAGTGTTCATCCACGCAGGCTTCTTCAGGGATGTTGCTCAGTGTCTCGTATTTTGTCTTGATGGCTGACGTGAAGATGTCCATTACAGTTTCATCCTTCAGTTTCTGGGTGTTGAACCTGGACTGTGGTCTGTCACCAACTTCTTTGAAGGCTTTCAACTTGATTTTGAAAGTAGGTTTCTTGCACTAGACAGTGAGTGGTGTGAACCACTTACATCTGCTCCTTTTCTTGATCTTGTGTCAAGTAGGGCTGCATCTCCACTTTCTTGAGATTGAGATGAAGTTGATCTGACTTATAGTGTACTGTGTCTGGTGAAGTTTATGTCGCTTTATGAATGGCCTTGTGTTTTTACACACTGCCTCCAACCACCAAATCGTTGAATTCGCAGAAGTCTGCAAACGACTCTACATTCTCATTCATTTCATCGAGTGCTTCTCGGCCGATGATTGGTTCTCTTCCTGTGTTGTCTTCTCCCAGTTTGTCATTCATGTCACCCCACCAATTAGAATTTTGATGTCGCCATCTGGGGTAGGGTCTTGTCTATAGTTGATTGAAGTTGTCTGTAGAATTCCTCCTTCTTCTTTTGGTCTGCCTAATTATTTGTAAGTGCGTAGGGTAGCATTGAATGATTGTGACTTTCCTTCCTTTTGAGTTGAACCTTGCTGTCGTGATCCCACATGAGGAGATTGGTGCTCACTGCACGAGGCCCTTCGATGTTCTTGGAGACATCATGATAGCCGCTTCAAAACTCAGCGTGCTCGTGGTTGTCGTTTGGATGACCGGAGTAGATTATTGACTCTCCAGTTGACAGTTTGGAGAGTCCATTTCCATTCCATCTGCTTTCGCAGATTCGTAGCCTAGCACTTCTATGTCATACCTCCTCATCTCTTT